AGGACAGAGCCACATTAAATCTATCACTACGTGGACCCAATATCTGCGTGAAATAACCGAGTGTCCTGTTTTGAATGCTTTAAATGTACTTCGTTTGAAACTACTTAGAATGCTAGATGGGTTTTCCTGGGCCACTGTGCCAAGATATGAGGCTCATTTGTATCCCTCAGTTAAAGGTGTGTTGTGTCCTTGTGTTTCGCTCGTACGGCTACCAATGTAAGGCATCAACCAGGACTGGCACTTATCAATCAAAATGAAAGCTGTTTTTTTGTCAAATGAAATATAACAATGCCAAATTGGTGGAGGAGGAGGAGGGGTATGTGTACTGCTCAATTTGTTCTGGTAGACTGCGTGGTGGCACAACGTGTACCTGGACGCTGCCTTCTGTTGTACAATAACTATATATAAAAAGATGTAAATAACCGCATAAAAAATATACAAAAATCTAGGTTTTACTTTTATTCCAATGTAGAACATTGAATGAATATATTAACAGGAAATGTGTACAGTCTTGTTGGTACGTGTCATTGTTCACGCGACGTGCTTTTGGGGTTGTGCTACGTGCTGTCGCAAACGGAGAACCGTTCAGCACCACGGTCGTTTAAGAGGCTCACGCCGTCCGTATTTTGTCATCGTTGGGGTTTTTTCCCTCCGTCTCATTCGTACAGTTTGTCCATTAGCCTAAGTGTATAATTAGCGAACAATTTTTTTCTTAGATTTGTAAGTCATTTGACTCCAGCGTCATGAGCGTGAGAATTGATTTCGCACGGATTAAACTGACGCTTTGTTTGCGCGCTTTAACCGCATTGTTGTTGATCACGCGCGGTCCGATTACATTTTAAGTGTCCAGACGAAATGCCGAGCTGTGTATGCAAAATGCTTTCTGTGCATCTTCCAACACGTGGTCACTTTCATGGCGATAGCAAATGCACTGGAGGAACACCACTAAGACCTCACCTGCGTGACCTCCACAAACGTGTCGACCAATCACAGAATTTCGATTTAAAGCTTTCGTGACTTCAGGGATTGATCTTCTGGGTTCTTTCGGTAAAGTCACGTAGAATGGAGATAAAATAATAAAAATAATAACGGAATAAAATTCTCACGTAGGCTACAAGAAGATCAATCACAGAATGTTAATAAATCTGCAACCTAAATCAGTGCAATGTTGGTAACTATTGTGTATTGGAATGGAGCATGACCCTTGTATCCGAGTGTACGTTTCTTTGACAGCTTTGTGGCAGACTAATCGCGTGCTCACAAAATGGTGTTACCCTTGTGTGCCCAACTGCACATTCGAAAAGTCGTGAGCCGTTATACACATGTGTGTCCTCTGATGGTGAAAATAGGAGCGGACTCTATTGAAGGATGAAGCTGTACTATGGTGACATCGTAACAACAGATAGTTACAAATGAGTGTTAACGTATTTGTGAGGATGACTGATCGTGGTCGACCAAGTTGATGCTTATTCTTCAGCCAACGTCACACCTCTTGAAAGGCTGATTCGGGCAGGCGAGCAGGAATTCATCTCTTATTAGAGGTCATCAAGGTTACGTGTGGGAACAGCATATTCAATAAACCCATGACAAGTTACATTAATGAAAAGTCTGTGCCCATTTCGTGTCAAACATGTTAATGTACAACTTTGAAGCAAAAGGTAGTCATCGAATTGGCATGCCTCAACAGGCAGATTTCCTTTGTGAGATCAATGTAATTCGTCTCAACATGTAATAATAGTTCCACCTGCTTAGGTTGGGATAGCATTTAGATGCTACATCAGTTAAAACTGTATTATTTCCAAAATATTTTCTAAATTCATGAAGTGCAAATGCATTGATGCAAGGATTCCGTCTTTACACTCAGATAATGAAAAGCGAACAGCAGGTCACTGTCCTTCTAATGTGCAGTTGTGCAAGGGTGCCGGCTGCTTTCACTGCAAAATTCGTCTTCCGGCTTGTGGCATCAATGTGTAGTGACTTAGCGATGACTGTTGGACAGCAGCAGCAACTGCAGGTGGGCACTTAGAGCACACGCCGCTGAGCATGTGTGTGCCGGCAGGGCGGAAGAACTGGGGCAAGGGTCATGGTAGACCTCGTGTGGAAGCCTCTGGAAGGTTCGAGAAGTGAGGCGCAGCTAGGTTGGAGCCAAGCGAGAGCTCCGGGCTGCCGGTTCTGGCATTGGACTCGTCTCGTCTTCGCTGTCATCGCCGCCGCCTTCGCCCAATCATTGCGCGGCCGGACAGTGGTTGGCTGTCCCTGGTCGTAGCCGTCGGTGCACCGCGGACAGGGTCGTCTCTGGGACGGGTCGTGCGGCAGCGGGGTCGTGTGTGGGAGAGAGAGGGGGCCCGAGTGGTGGCGTGAGGTCGGCAACAACGATAAAGAGGGCACAGCGGTGCCTCCTGCGACCACCTCGTCTCCGGCTGACTGTGTGTGCGATGCACGCCACCCGCATGCACAGACGACACTACAAATGTATTTGAGTACCAGGGTCATGTAAATGTTGTGGGTTTACTCTCCAACACACCGGTGTAGTGCTGTATTAGTAACGAATTGCCATGTTTTGTTAACGTGACAATCATTACTAATTGGCTGTGTTGGGGGTGGTGGCGGGTTTAACTACACATATTTAAACCATCTAACCCAAAACCCTATATTATGGATAATGTTGATCGTGAAAGCCTACTGTTAAACAGAATTGTAACTTATGCAAACTGATTTTATTTTACTTATTCAAACATCATTGTAAATTTGGAACACAAAACAAGCAGAGTTTAAATTACACAAGTACCCTATTTATGCATGCAAGGGTAGAGCTCACTCACGGAAGGGATAACATTCAGGTTAAACATTATATAAGTTGTCCACCAAGTATTACAGCTGCCACACGCGGGTAGCTTCGTCGAAGAAAAAAAAACACGCGTGCAGCGTTCAGGCACTTGGAATTAAGTGCGGAATGTGTTATTTCCTGCAGGATTAACTGCTCAGTAATGAAACCACTGAGAGCCCTCGCTCCTGATTCATACTTGTGGATATCTGCATTCCTTTCATAATGGATCACACGTTACTTTCTAATGCAGGCCACTCCACGATTAGATTTAATTTCACCGGAACCCTATTTCTTCGTTGCATTTGCGACAATGGTGGAATACGTGAATAAACTAAAGACACGCTAAATTAATTTTAAGCAAGGTTTTTTTTTTAAACACAACAATACATAAAAAAAAACACAGCAAGAATACGCATATAGGTTGCTGCCGTGCAAATGCCTGCCATGCTGCCCCACTATTTCCTCGCCGCAGACCTCCCAGTATTTTGGAATCAGTTTTTCTCACGAATCATTTCAAGCATGCAAGATGACACTCTATAATAATAGAGGTCTCTAGTCAATGTTTATGTATGACCAAGAGGCTGATTGATGCTGATGAGAGAGCCTTGGATTTATTTAAATGGCACGGCGCCTTCCGTCTTGTATCCAATTTCTGCCAGCATCTCATTTGAAAAATAATGTTTTACCCTTTCTGGAAATAAAACAGGAGTTAAGATGTACAAAATCCAAATAGATTCCTTTTGCAAGGAATCAAGTCTGCATTAACCACACGTGCTTGTGGTGAACATGCAAAAAGATACCGCCAAAACATATTGCCTTGATACTGCCAAAAGAAGGTCCAATGATATAGCATCTCACTGATTGACACGTATTATACTTGGCCATAAACAATTCCTAGAATCTGGCTCGGCAAACACACTGAAGGGTGTCTTAGCGTTGACTGACCGCAATCGTACACAGCAAACATTGAGGCCTTGTGTAAAGATTATATTCAGATTTTAGTCAAAACTAAACAATAATGTAACATGTAATGCAGATCGGAAATATATTTTTTGTAAATATAACATACAGTACTGGCAATATGTCTGGCCGGATGGCTGTGTGGCAAGAGCTCTCGATTAATGATTGGAAAGGTTACACTTTAAAATGCTTGCAAGGGTTAACTCTGCATATTATTTCTCAATGGTCAGTAAAGCGATTACTGTTTTGTGGAAGGTTGAACAATGATGTGTGCTGTGGATAGACTGCCCCACTCTCCCCACCATCGGCATATGGGTAGCTCCACCACTGGCTAAGGAATACCACCAGGGTGAGCATTACAGACACTTTGCCTGGCAACATTGTAAACATTTCAAATACCAACAACAACCAAAAACCGAGAAATATGTTTAGGCAAGTGAAGCATTTAATCCTCAAATTCCATTGCTTATTTTGAGATTATAAAAAAGTGGGTGGAAATGCGCAATGTCACACAGTAGTCTATTAAAATGGGACATGATGGGGCTTCGGCGACCTGGGATGGTAAGAGGGCAGTGAGGGGTCGGCATTGAACTCTCGGTGAGAGAGGGAGCCGACAGAGATGATTTGGTTTCGATCCAGCATCCACACTTATCAAGCATGAGCTCCCATAATAAACACGTTTACATTATTTATATTATTGATAGCTATCAAACTATAGTTTGTCTTCTATACACCCTGCACACGGAATATTTGGTGAGAGTTCACTCGCCCTACGGAGCGACTGGTTCCCCCACCACGAGAATGTGGAATTCGCGTCATTGCTTTAGCGCCACCAATAGAGATGAGCGCCAGCAGCCCAATGCTTGTTTGAGCAGGGAGACACATAAAACCTTTTCTGACTTTTCAGTCGCGTCGTAAACACTTATGTTAATAGTGCCCCACTATGGGTTTTTTTTTTTTATCATGGGTCGCTATTGTCCCGATGGCAGCGTTGGGACCATAATTGCGAGCGGCTGTATTTGCTGTAGGCTGTGTCGAATGTAGCACCCCTCCCCCCCCCCCCCCCCCCAGTGCGTCCCACTGTTTGAATCAATGGCCTTAGTTCAGGCAGTTATTTGTCTTTTTTTATGGGCAAAACCACTGAAAAATGATCAGTATTGCATTTCTTACCCTTGTGAAATCATTTGCGATGCTGACTTTAAAGCTTTTAATGCAGACTTTCCCAATTAACCTTTATTGAAAACGAATTATAAACCGTTAAAAATGTGAGTTTGTTGACACAATGTTTATTAAAACCAAAACATATACTATTATATAAGTCGCTTTCTTAAAAGTCTATTGTAGTTAGTGGAGCACCAAGAGTGAGTCACTCATAATAATGATATCTTCTCAAGCAAGGAGGCAGTGATACAGAGTTTTGTCATCGTAAACATGTGCAATGCTGTGAGTAATTTAGAACATCTGTAAGGATGAAACATACAAACGTCTAAATGTACCGGGTAAACAAAATTGGACGTAGTTAGTTATCGATTCGAAAATAAATCAGTGAGAATGGTCAGGTTGAGAGAGCTATTACCATGTCACAAGACTGAAGCATAGTCACTGAAATCCTGGGTGTGAGTCCGAGTTTCAGATACTCTTAATTAAATTAGGCTTTCAAGTGTAGTCAGTTGATGGTCTCAGCCTCGTCACCAATGACTCGCCACAACTGAAGGTCATGCTTGCTTCACCCGTGTGGACGAAAGAAAAGTATGACCACGTGATAAACATCATTTGCAGCACATTTAAATAGTGCCATGTAATGCGGGCAAGAAGCTTCGTGCTGCTCTCTGTGATGATTTAGAAAGGCGATTGCCTCTCTCGTGACATGAGTGAATATAATTTGGGGCAGGAGCGGAGGAGGCGGAAGCAAAACAATAAAAAATATAAAGAAAATCATGCAAATTATAACGTACACGTAAATAAAACGTACAGTAAATAAACAAAATCCAAGTGTCGACTCGTCAATTGCCAACCAAACCACTCTCATTCCATCTGCAAGTAAGCATTTCCCCACCAGTGAGCTGCAGCTTCAAAGGCTGCAGTTCCCAAACTCTCTCTCTCTCTTCTCTGTGCAAGGATTCAACGGATGCCTTTGTAGCACACCACACGCGTTTTCATCAAGAAGCCACCACCCCAACTGGTCCACTGCGAACACATTGTGAAAAGGTAGCACGACACCAATTAAACCGCATTTGCCTCGCCCCCCACCCCCCACGATTTCCTCCACCCCGGAAGCCTCTTTGATCATCTAGGCCGCTGCTTGCTCCAGGACGCCCTCCTCTCTGTACGCGTTCTCAAACTCGGTGCACAGGGTGCCCAGCAGCTTCGTCCAGGCACTGCGCGCCGTCGGAGACAGCTCGTCCTTAAACGTTTCCAGGAGAACGTCCATGATAATGCCGCCCAAGATCTGTGTGTGTGTGTGAGAGAGGGGTGGGGGGGGGAGGGAGAGAGAGGGAGGGTGACACGGCACAAGTCGCGCGTAACATTTTGAGTCGCGTTTTTTTTTGCTATTCCTGCCGCGGCTGCTCCACAGAATGTCTCAGAGCAGCAACTTGGTCACGGATTTGGTAGGGGAAGCATTAATGGGCAAGACACAGCGAGGTGGCACAGCGTGGAGCACAAGTGGTGCATCTGCCAGTCATATCAGTAAGTCGACCCGGAACACCTGGGTCTATCTCGTGACCTCCTACGAGAATCCCTTCCACACTTCACAAGCCTCCAGATTTGACGTCACTGATTTGTGAATTTGCGGCTATTGTGGGGAGCGGTGGGTTAACGGTTATCGCACTGTGCTACGAACCCGGTGATTTGTAATTCGATTCCCAGCCACGGCTAATATCGGTGATCATTGACATCTGAACCCATGCTGGGCCTCCCCGAGGTTAATTTACCCCCAAAACGAGTACCTGGAGTGATGTATAAGCCATTCGTACTGGGGAGAGAAAGGTGGCCGGAATGGTTAAGGCCACACCACCCGTTCATGCGCCGTGCCGTTAGCGAGCACCGGTTAAGGCAAACAGTCTGTACGTCTAGAGGGAGAGATTTGCCTTTGTTGTGTTCGAGTATCGTGGTGCATTCGCGGCTCTCGCGGTATCTCTCAAGCGGACGGAGAGAGCACTAATTGAAAATGACAGTCGATGAAGGAGGGCAGCGTGTACTGACGTACCGCACCGCCCATCCCATGATGGATTGGAGCCACGGAGGGAGGTGCAATTATATTCGCAGACGACACACATTTAATACGGTATCTGGCTGTAATGGTGAGCGCAATCGACTGGCAATCGGGAGCCCTCTGGTTCGAATCCATCTCTCGGGCGTGGCAGTTGAAGCAATGATTTTTTTTTTTAAATCCCCACCACCACCTCTGTCCAGCCAGAAGCATAACAGGGTTCAGCACAGTCGGTCGATCACCGGGGTCGCGCGTGGTGGGGCAGCGTGTGAGTCCCGTATGTCCATCTCTGCCAACACGTCTGATACCCTTTAGAGTTCGCTCTAGAGTGCCACGGTGCCGACATGTTAACTACATCACCTCGTATACAGGAGGTTGTGGGTTCGATCCCAACCTTGACAATGCCTGTATATTTGGAGTTTGCATGTTCTCTCTCCCTATGGTCGTGTAGATTTTTCTCCGGGTCCTCCGGGTTTTCCCTCCACATTTAGAATCAACATGCTGTTTAGAGTATTCGGCTGCTTTACATTTCCACGTGATAATAAGCCACTTAGTTGAGCTATCATTTGAGCCCAGGTCGCTTCTAAAAGAGGGCTCGACAGCTCAGTGGGCCTTAACCCGGTCAACTAAAAATAGTTTAGGTACCTAGAAATAGTTTAGTTTTTTTTCTGGATGGAGGCTCTTCCGCCAGCAGTGGCATCAGCTATAACAATTGCAAGGCTTGAGGTGGCTTTACTTTTTAAACATCCCTCTTGGAGACAGGAGAGCCACCGTGAATTATCTAATTCAACGTATCCATTCAATTCAATTGATGGGGAATACGCTTCAGTGTATACAATTTAATTTCTTTCTGACGCGTGATTTGATGTACAGTAATGTGTGTTTTTTTTGTGCCAGTCGAAAGACAACTGGCGCATTTGCCGGTGGTTACGATGGACAAAAAAATGCAAACAAAAATTGGCACGTTGTATTTTTAACCTTCATACGTGTATTTAAAAATGTGATACGCTCCTGTTGAATGGTCTCGCCAAATGGGCATTCAGATGCTCCAACGTCACGCCTGCGCATGGGTTTTCCCAGTCACGGTACTGAGTGCCGCCATTCATCTGCTAATCCAAGCTGAAATCGCTGCAGGAATTTAAAAACAAACGTACGAAGCGCGCCATTAATTACAGAATGCAAATTCACAAAACCCACGTGAATTCCAATATTTACAAATGTGAATTGGATAACATCGATTTCCATCGAGACAAGAACAACAACCGCCATTCGCCACTAAGTGGCGGTGACGTCACCACGACGCTTGTGCCAGGCCATGTGCACCTTGAGGCCACGTGAAGTGTCGAACGCCCGCGGGCAGGAGGTCACGGGGCAGACCCAAGTGCCACGGGTCGACTGACTAAGATGACTGAGATGACTGGCTGATGCACCACCTGTGCCCCCTACTGTGCCAACCTGCTGTGCTTTAGCCACCCGGCGCTCCGCTCGTTGTTGTGAGCGTCGCTCCTCCGCCCTCCGTTGTTGTTGGAGGGCGACTACCTCCAACTGCCCAGTAGCGTCCTTCACGAGCCTCCTCCACAGAGGCCGATCTTGACACCGCTGGTACCAGTCATCGGCAAGTCCACTCAGCTCCACGTCCTCCTGTACCACATCACTCCATCTCTTCTCTAGCCCGTGCCGCGCCCGTTTAGCCCCCTCGATCCGGCCGAACAAAAGCTGTTTCGGCATGCGGTGGCTGGGCATGCGGGCTACATGACCCAGCCAACGCAGCCTTGCCTGCCGGAGGAGCTCACCGATGGGACCTTGCCCAGATCTTTCAAGGATTTGTGAGCTCCTCACACAATCCAGCCTGGTTAAACCCAGGATGGATCGTAGGCAGGCTAGCCTAAATGTTTCTAACCGGCAAAGATGTTTCATTAGGGGGGTCCACGTTTCACAAGCGTAGAGAAGGGAGGGAATGACCGTGGCCGAGAAGACCTGAAGCTTAGTGCGGAGCGACAGACCAGGTAGCTTCCACACAGCGTTACGCAACCGATGAAAAGATATTGCCGCTCGACTGATTCGGAGTGAGACCTCTGCTATTAAACTGGAGCCGGTCATAAACACACTGCCCAGGTATGGGAAACTCTCCACTCTCTCTACAACTGCCCCATCACCGATTGGGAGTTGTGGGGGTGGAGTGTCCGATGGTACAAAATACCCAGGCAGGTGCTTAGTTTTGGTGGGGCTGATGGTAAGGCCCCATCTCTTAGTGGCACGCTCCAGTCTCAGCAGCGGCGTCTCCAACTCCTCCTCTGAATGAGCAGCTATTACCAAATCATCGGCATACATAACGTGGTTGAGCAATAGGGAGCCATCCCTTGACCGCACCCGGGCATCGATCAGCCTCCCATTATATCTGTACCATATGGAGATTCCCCCGGTACAGCTATTGAAGGCTTCACGAACTACGTGGTCAAAATAGATGTTAAACAATGTGGGAGCCAGAGGACATCCCTGTCGCACCTCAAGGTGTACAGGGAATGGTTCTGACTTCCGGCCACTTAGTTTTACCCGGGCCCGCTCACCATCATGAAGGTCCTTAATGATCATGAGCAGAGGGTCAGGTACTTCAAAAGCACGAAGAACAACCCAGAGCCCAGGCCTACTGATGGTATCATAGGCCTTGACCAGGTCAATAAAGCAGAGATGTAGGTCTTGCTGGAATTCCCTACACCTCTGCTGTAGCAGACGGACAGAAAATATGGCATCTGTGCAGGACCGCCCTTTCCTGAAACCGCATCGGGGCTCCGCAAGCCTCTACTCAGCGTGCCTGGCAAGGCGATGCTGAATAATCCTTGCCAGGACCTTTCCCGGCACACTGAGGAGTGAGATGCCCCTGTAGTTGTTACAGTCTGTGCGGTCCCCCTTCTTAAAGAGGGGGACCACCAGGGCATCCTTCCAATCCTGCGGAACCCGTCCAGTGGTCCAGACTGTTGTTACGATGTCATGTAGGGCAGTCTGTGCACAAACGCCACCATCGAGACACGCACACACACACACACATTTTTAACCTGGAGAAATGCAGCAGCCGGGAAGTAGTTATCATCCAAACAAAGCACTTACAACACTGCGACTCGATGCACACCTTTGAGCTTGCATGGCTATTATTGTATAAACAAGGGTACACAACATTTCCACAACAGCCCAAGCGTTGCAGATGACCTGCATACAGAGTTTAACGTGGAATGGCATCAATCCACAGGGCATTGGTTCACCCTATGGCAGGGGTCAGCAACCTGCGGCCCCGGAGCCGCATGCGGCTCTTTAAGGACTGCTTCGTGATGTTATTTATTGAGGACCATCGCCGTCTCGTAGTCACGTGCATTGCAGCTCTTGAAATATTGAGGGTTCTTTTTTTTTTACTGAACGCAAAAAAAAATTACTCTTCTCATTACTTTGGTTGCCCACCCCTGACTCATGGCAACGCGAAACGTTGCCATGAACCCAGAGCGTCGACGCATAAACAGAAAAGTAGCGCAAGGGCTCTAAGATCACAGAGTCATATGGTTTCTCTCCGATGATGCCATTTGTCCATGACCGATGCACCAGAATTCCCCCTCATCAGCCCGCCAGATCTCCGAACTTAAGCCTGGATAACACTCGGATGAGCGGCCACCGTGCTTCGCAAGATTGCTAAGCTAAGCGGTGCTACGGGGCAGCGCAGCAAGATCAATGATGGCACTGTGCTTGTATTCTCCCACACCTACAGTACACTGCCGGTCATCGCCAGCTCGCACCGATCAGCGTGGAGAAGTATGGTCAAGTTTTACCCCCAAAGAGGCGCACGGCATAGGAATCTCTGACCCAGCGGAGGATTGAGGTTATTGCCTGCGCTTATAACGCGTGTAGTATAAGCTCCCTGTTTGAACACGCCGTGGTTTGCACATTATTCAATGGTCAGTTTTGCTTTCTGATAAGTCACTAGACGTAGTGTTGGATGGAATGTTAAAGCCAACGTTAAGTGACCCTTGAACGAGCTCAAGTTAATAAACCTGTGCACACATACACAGAGACCTGCATCGGTGGGGTAATCGTGAGACTGCTCGCTGTGGATATAATTACTGCATTGTTGATTAGCCGTCTGTTTTTAGAAATGGTTGTTCTGTACAGTAATTATAAAGATGCATTTGCATCGTTGTATTTTTGGTTTAGTTTTCACGTGAAAAATTTAAACGGTGGTAAAGTACGGAGGGGCACATTTAAAAATGCACTTTTCACGGCATCCAATCGTTGCAGAAACTTTGTGGAATCATTAACGGTAACAATCATTTTTTTCATAATAATGCGTTTATTATCATTGTTGTTGTTGTTTAAGTCATGTTTTCAATGTTGTTTGTGCAACATAGACCGCATTTTGATAGGGAGTAGCATATATGTGTAAATGCACATAATCCAACGTCCGAGTGTCATCACATTCAAATGAAGTGGGGGTTGGTGCAAATTTACAGCTGGAGCGCACAAGTAAGCAGATGTACATTCCACATTCCTATGGCTGTGACCATCCTCTTCTTATTAGTATCCTACAAAGCAGTTCTGATTTTAATCCACCCTCAATTGATGGTGAACTAAGTCAATCCCCAACCAATAATAATTTGAACTCGCAGTCTCCAGTCTGGAAGGTCAGTGCTACTGGCCACATCCATCACCTGGCCATATCACGATGCTTGTCACGATTCACTCCCCACCAGAGGATCGATGCATCGTTAGCATTTCGCGGTTGTGATACGAATCAAGAATCAATGATTTGTTGTTTTGTTTCCAAAGTATCGTTTGTATTATTTCCATTTTTCGTGTTTAGTTTGTTGTCCTTCCCCCGCACCTCCGATTAGCACGGTTGGCTACGTACGGTGCGAAAGAAGTTCAACGTACGTATATACGTCTTTAGTTTTGCTTAATTTTTGCACAGTGTCATTTCCACCATGAGCTAAAATGTGACAGCATATAAATTGTAAACAACTCTTATACACATTATTCTATGCTTGTATTGTGAGCATTAGGCATCGATTTAATTGATGGGCAAAGACTCCCCCACATAGCCTCAACAGACTGTTGGGGTTAGTGCTGTTAGCGAGTAGCACCTACGAAGGCCAGCACCATGCCCGGCCGCCTTTGTCTCCCCAGTGGCGATGTTTACACACCGCACCATGTACTCATTTGAGGCTGAGTCGACCTAGGGGTGGCCCAGGACCTGTTCAGATAATCGTCACCGGGTGTTGACCATGAGCAGGTTCATCGCGCAGCGTGCTAACCGATACACTACCACTCCCCCTAACTTTATACACATATGCACGCGCGCGCACCAGTGAAGGTCAACGGAGTTGCGACCGCACGACGCAACTCCGTTGACCTTCACGGTCGCCCGTGCGCGCCCGGCTCCGCGAACGTTCACTGCGCAATCCGGTGCCGTCGCCGCCAAGATCGGTGGAGCCGTTTACGTGGTAGTACTTGACGTCGACGGGCGTCGCCTTCCTGGCGTGGGACAGTCCGACGGCGCGCAGGATCTTGATGAGCTCCTCGGGTTTGCGCAGGCTCCTCACGGCCTTGTCCAGGGAGCCCATGACGCGGCCCGCGTGCCAGCGCAGCTTGGCCGAGGCCTTCAGGTCGTCGGCGGTCTCGAGGTCCTTGAACATTGGGAAGTACTGTTTGGATGCCGGGTGGCCGGTGAAGAGCCTGCGGGGAGGGAGAAAAGCGTCAGCATTGTTAGGGATGGCCGGCGTGTTCGGTGGGCTGTCGAGGCACGGGCGCGTGTGTCTCCTTCGCTCGAAGGAGTTGTGCATGCGACGCTCCTCAACACCGGCGGTGGCGAGATGCTAGCTGCCTCGCCGGGTGTACAGACCCTAACGCCTGTGTATTTGGAGTTTGCGTGGTCACGTGGATCTTTCTTCTGCGTTTCCCTCTGCATTTGGAATCAACATGCGCTTGGAGTATTTGGCTGCTATAAGTGTCCACGTGCTAAGCCACTTTCGTTGAGTTACCATTTGTGATAGCCAGGTCGCTCCTGAAAAAGAGCTCAGTGGGCCTTACCTGGTAAAATAAAAAAAAAGTTTAGTTTTTTTTAGTTATCAATGTGGTGGCGTTTTCACGTTTTTACATTTGTGGAAGCGAGCGTCCGCCGGCGACGACCGATGTTGACTGCTCAAAAACGTGTAAATGCATTCTCACGGCTACGTCAGAGAGGTCTCACCAATAAACACACTACACGGCAAAACTCCTCTTACTCGCAAAAAAACACCCCTCTATTGTCCGAATAAAGCTGCGCCAATACGAAATGATTCGGTTTGATCTAAGCCTCGACGCGGATAAGAGGAGTGACCCACAGGTGGCGACACAATTATCCTTTCTAGATTTGAAGCTTTCGTGACTGCAAGGATCCATACTCTTTGGTTCCATTCGGTAAAGTCACGTAGGTAAAAAAATAAAACAACAAAAAACACGACGTCTCCTCCACAACACAAGCGGCCTTCCTCTTTTTGTCAGTGTTCACCAGTTGCTTTCGTTGCTCGGATGAAGGGAATCATTTGTGCGCATCATAGAATCACCCCAAGCGCTGCTCCCTCTACCTCTCTGGCCTCTCTCTGTGTGCTGTGAAGAAGGGTCATTGCCCAAAACGTCACCTATTCTATATATTTGTTAGTTTGTTCGAGAAGCCAACGCAGGTCATGAACGCGTGACATTTCGGGCAAAACCCCCTGAGAGAGGGGACCGGCTGGATGCCCTTGGGCTCCTCGCAGCGCGACCGTCGCAGGGATGATGATCGGGAGAAGCAGAGGGGTGGGGGGGGGGGTAATGTACCAGAATCATATTTATATTGGAGGAATCCGATGAACTATAAAGCTCTTTTTCACAGATGTCCAGGAACCAAAACCTAACGAAAAATAACATAAAATAACTGCAAAATCTGAAGGATATGTTTTTCCAGACAGAAAGAAGGGTAACTGTTTGCTAATTGCCCAGTTTAGAATTGGAATTATAGAGCGTATAACACAAGGGCCTAATAAGCTGAACAAACATTTGAAAACGTTGGTTTAAACATTTCCGCAACAACAAAAATCAATTCAATGGACAATTACCTCTTTAATGGTGTAAGGAAGACAGGAAATTATGATGGGGCAAAGGTGGGAGGTGGGGGAAGCTGCTGATGTAGATGATGCAGAGCAACAACTTACAGTTTCACATTCAGGTGTTCAAGCCAGCAGATAACCGCGTCAGGAGCAGGAGCGGAGAGCGTTATCGCTGTAAAGTGTCGTTCGTATTTGTGGATCGGGGCATTGCGTCGTTATACGTTGTACGATCTGTTCTGGATGACCGCAGTGGCACAATACTACTGGAGAGTTTATACTTTTCCATTTGTGTATCAGGTATCTGCATATGCTGCCTTGGTTTGTGCAGCGGACGCTGTTTAAGGTGGAGGAAAAAAGCCAGGCATCTTCTGGGTTTAAAGGTTACAGTATACACAGCAAGCAACAAACACTCTTTAGAACCAACATAAATTCTGGAGCTGTGGGTGGCCTATTTACACAAAGGATTTTCCTCTTCTTGGTGGTTGCATATCTCTCCTTGCATCTCCACCTCTCGTAAACTTTTACATTCCACAAAGTGGAGTCTGTGAGTTGCACTTTTTAATCCTTTCACTTGAGAACTTGCAGCGATACACACAAGAATGTGTGTGTGTGTGTATGTCCGGCAAAACAACCCCCTACCTCCTCGCGGTGCCGGATGGGCAACTCTGTCATGGACAGTGCTGTCCATGACAGAGTGGCTAAACGGGGGCTCTGGACGGGTGCGAGGGGCTGGTAACCCCTCCACCTTAAAAAAAATTACCACGAAACCACGACTTAAATATATAACTAATAAGCTTGTGCCGGAGGCCCCGGGGGGATAGGCGTCTATGACGTCTCCTGGCCAAACCACAATTGGCGGAGCCAGGAGATTGAATCTCTACCCTCGGGGCTCCTCCAGAAACAACGAAAAGCCACTTTCTGTGGCCACGTGGAATGTTCGAACGCTCACTGCGGAGGAGAGGCTGCCACTCCTCTGTCGGGAGCTGGACCGGTACCGCCTGGATCTCTGTGGCATTCAGGAGGTCCGGTGGACCGACTCTGGCTCCTGCCACCATGAGGGGTGGACAGTCCTCTACTCGGGGCAGAAGACTGCCAAACAACAGGGTTTGGCTCTTCTTTTGAACAAAAGAATGAAGGGTGCGTGGGAGCGTGGTGGTGAGGTGTGGGAAGCTGTAAGCCCCAGGCTACTTTAGGCTCACCTTCCCATCAACCGGAGGCGAGGAGTGGTGGTTGTGGTTACTTATGCCCCCACTGAAGACGAACATCTGTGGAGGGATGCAGGCAAAGCCGATGAATCAGATGCCTTCTATGACCTCCTGTCACAGGTGCTGGCTAAAGTGGCCCGTCGGGACAGAGTCATCTTGTTGGGTGACTTCAATGCCCGAGTTGGTCATGCTGGCACCTGGTCTGGAGTGATTGGAGGGCATGGGCCAGATCAGCTCAATAACAACGGTAGGAGGCTGCTAGATTTTTGTGCAGCCCATGTGCTTGTAATTACCAACACTCTGTTCCGGCATCGGCGCATCCACACAACATCATGGATGCATGCCGGGTCCAAGCAAGAACATCTGCTGGACTACATAGTGATGGACCAGCGGATGTGAGCCCATGTCCTTGACACCAGGACCTACTGTGGAGCTGATCTGCCCTCTGACCATCGACTAGTCATCTGTAAGATGCGCCTGCCATTCTTCCACTCCGGTGATGGGTGTACACTCAGGACCCCATTCCAACCTAAAGTGGCCTGGTCTCAGTTAGCTGATGAAAGTTGCAAGCGAGAATTTCATCATCGCTTGCGGCTGGGGATGGCATCGTCCCCCACTCCTCCTGATGTCGAGGGTAAATGGGCAAGGTTTAGGACTGTGACGCATGCAGCTGCAATGGCTACTTTGGGTACGCGGTCCAGACCTCCCCAGATACCCTGGCTGACAGAGGAGGTGTTCAGGATAGTTGAGAAAAAGCGACAGGCCCACTGTCATCAGCTAAAGAATCCCACATCAGAAAATGAGGAGGCTAACCGCAGCCTTCGCTCGGAGGTTTGGAGAGCTGTGAGGCGCTGCAAGGATGGGTGGTGGTCGCGGGTTGCTGAGGAGATGGAGTCTGCCTCAGTGGCCCGTGATCACAAATCTCTATTTAACTCTATCAAAAAAGTAACCTGCAGCGCCTCACCTATTACCATCATTAGGGGAAAAAATGGTGTTCCAATCTCCGACCCCCAGGAACAGGTTTGCAGATTTGCTGAGCATTTCTGTGAGGTCCTGGGGGAGGGGAAACCCCTCAGCCAGGAAAACATCGTGGCACAAAGTGGGGATGAACCTTGCTGACGCTGCGGTGCCTCAAGTATTGGAAGAAATCACCCCCTGTGAGTGGCTGGCTGAGGTGCCATCTGTTGAGGAAGTACTGAAGGCGATCCGGAGTCTGAGACCAGGAAAGGCACCGGGCAGAGATGATCTCCCAAGCGAAATACTGAGGGAGGGTGGCGTTTGTGCACAGACTGCCCTATATGACATCATAACAACAGTCTGGACCACTGGACGGGTTCCGCAGGATTGGAAGGATGCCCTAGTGGTCCCCCTCTTTAAGAAGGGGGACCGCACAGACTGTAACAACTACAGGGGCATCTCACTCCTCAGTGTGCCGGGAAATGTCCTGGCAAGGATTATTCAACATCGCCTTGCCAGGCACGCTGAGGAGAGGCTTGCGGAGCACCAATGCGATTTCAGGAAAGGGCGGTCCTGCACAGATGCCATATTTTCTGTCTGTCTGCTACAGCAGAGGTGTAGGGAATTCCAACAAGACCTACATCTCTGCTTTATTGACCTGGTCAAGGCCTATGATACCATCAGTAGGCCTTGGGTCTGGGTTGTTCTTCGTGCTTTTGGAGTCCCTGACCCCATGCTCATGATCATTAAGGACCTTCATGATGGTGAGCGGGCCCGGGAAAAACTACGTGGCCAGGAGTCAGAGCCATTCCCTGTACACCTTGGGGTGCGAAAGGGATGTCCTCTGGCTCCCACATTATTTAACATCTATTGTGACCACGTAGTTCGTGAAGCCTTCGATAGCTGTACCGGGGATTCTCCATTTGGTACAGATATAATGGGAGGCTGATCGATGCCTGGGTGCGATCAAGGGATGGCTCCCTATTGCTCAACCACGTTATGTATGCCGATGATTTGGTAATAGCTGCTCATTCAGAGGAGGAGTTGGAGACGCTGCTGCTGAGACTGGAGAGTGCCACTAAGAGATGGGGCCTTACCATCAGCCCCACCAAAACTAAGCTCCTGCCTGGGTATTTTGTACCATCGGACACTCCACCCCCACAACTCCCAATCGGTGATGGGGCAGTTGTAGAGAGAGTGGAGAGTTTCCCATACCTGGGCAGTGTGCTTTTGACCGGCTTCAGTTTAACAGCAGAGGTCTCACTCCGAAACAGTCGAGCGGCAATATCTTTTCATCGGTTGCGTAACGCTGTGTGGAAGCTACCTGGCCTGTCGCTCCGCCCTAAGCTTCAGGTCTTTTCAGCCACAGTCATTCCCTCCCTTCTCTACGCTTGCGAAACGTGGACTCCCTTAATGGAATATCTTCGCCGGTTAGAAACATTTAGGC